GAGAGAAAAATAACTCTTTCTCAGTACAGTTGTCATTTTTTTCCCTCTCTGCTGCTTCGCTGTTTGCAGTGCATAGCCGCTTTCAGCGGAAGAGAGAGAGAGGGGCTAACAACCGCGGGGCTATCTGTTGTATGTAACACTGGCAACAAAGTTTAGGGTGGCTCAGAGGTCAAGAACACAGAGCCTGGTCCCGCAGAGAATCGGGGTTCGAATCCCCACGTTTCAACGGTCGTGCGCGAGTAGAGTTGGTTCCCGGGTGGAGCGAGAGAATGTTCTCAGCTCCGTCCCCCAGTGCACGTGCATGCAAAAAAGTACTCTCGCTAAATTTGGCGTTACTGTCAATCAAATGAAAGTCATGCTGTGAGAATGAATTGCTTTGATTGTTAGGTGACAATCTCACAGCAGAGTGTGTGGGACAGTCCGCCCCCTGCTGTTCACAAAGATGAAAGGCCACTTGAAGGATGTTTCAGGAGTAGGCCTGCGGAAAAAAAACATCTATTCCGTGTCTGTTCTCTGAGACACGGGGCGCAGTGCTCTGCGAGATTTATGAATGGATTCTTCACGCCAGGGCGCGATGTCGAAAGCCAACCTGCAATAGGTTTGGAAAAAGGGCCAAACATTCTACGAATAAATAAAACAGACATAACTAGCATTAACTTGAACATCTGGATGACATATTGCCAAATAAATTATCAACTGTTGGTAAACCAGTACATATTATGATAAAGAGACTCGATCCCGAAATATTAAAAAAAGTACGCGGAAGGTTTTGTAGCTTGTTAAAAACATATCTTTGCTAGTCCAGTAGATGGTTATAAAAAACGTATATATTGCACAAGTGACTAATAAAACGAGTTAATTGTAAAAGCGCACACGATGTTCCCCATTACAAATTTGGTTCTGGATAAACAGGGCTTTAATCGGCCCAAGGCATTCTGCCAGGCCAAGCTGGGGATGGTGGGGGGGGGATGGTGCGGGGGGTGGAACGCCGCTTGTGGCCACACACGGCCGGAGGGATCGTCCTGGCCGCTGCTGCCGCTCGCGCACCTCAACCCCTTTGACACCAACGTACGACACCGTGGTCTCCGCCACAACCGACGCTCCGAGCTTTGCGCGCAGAGTACTGCGGCGGCTCGCGTGAGCAACAACAACGACGACACGCACGCTTCGAGACCACACAGCTCGCCACCGAAGCCCTTATCTCACAACAGCAGCGGCTGACCGTAAACAAGAGCAGTTGAAAAATATTTTGACCATGTTAAGATAGGCACTCAAAGTGGACCAAAAATAAAAACGTTCTCAATCTCACTGCATAGCAGTAACACTTCACAACAAGCACAAACCTAGCACGGAAACAGAAGGAAAAAAACATTGTTGCGACGATGGATTCGTTCGTGTCAACACGGCTCAGGAATGATTTGACCGCAGCAGCGGTTCTCAACCCGTGAGTCTTGCACCCCCCCTACCCCCCAGGGGGATGCGGACGCCTTTCAGTAGGGGGGGGGGGTACCAGCTGCGGCATGGAAACCGTGCGGGAGAAATTTTGAATGCGAAGAGGGAACGTCAGCAGCACATTGCGGCGACAAAACACGAATACACAACACGAAACTCGTGCCTTAGTAACACCGCATTGACTAGAGGCCTAGGGTGTGTAATGGGGCGGGGGGGGGGGTATGGAGACAAGTGGTCCTGATTGGCGGCCAGGTGTCGTACCGAATAAAGCCGAGAACCGCTGGACTACGCGCCGTACCAGTGTGCCGCACAACGCCGAAATCCGACGAAGCGGCACGAATTTTCCTAAATGTGGGGGGGCTGGGGGGGCTGGATGGCAGCGAGAGGCCTGCGCGCCGACCAACAACGCAACGGCGCTGCGCTTCTGGGATTAGCGCCGTATATCCCGCGTGGAACCGCATTCCCCCTTGCCAACAGACAAAAATCAATCCCCGCTCGTCCGGCCTCGGCGAGCACGGGCAGAGATAAATCACGGGCGGCCTGCCTCGGCGCGGTGGGCAGCAGCGGTGGGGGCGGGGGTGGCTGGCTGCGGCGCGCGACGTAAAGAGAGGGAACGCGGGCGAGGAGGCAAAAGCAGAGACGAAGGGGGCAGGCAAGCGGCTTTATTTATTCGTTTTGCTTTTTTATCGGCACAACGGCACCTGCTACCCGCACCCAGCACGATTCGTAGGCACGCCTTAGAAAGCCTCGGCAAAAAGGGACATCTCCCAAGCGTACGATGCGGCTCGGGAGTTTGTTCTGTTCGCTTGATTCGGACGTAGCTGTTGGAAGCAGGCATCTAAGCTCTTGCAAGCCAAAGGTGAACGAAATAGAAACAATTTCAATAATTTACAAAGAATTGAACAGCTTCACTGATCACAACAGAATACGTGCTTTTACCAAAGTCATTCACAGCAATGTGAATGTTTTTTGTTAAACTGTATTGGATGAATATGTATCGCAGGTGCTATATGGCTTATTACAGCGCAGAACTGAGTGATAATGCCGGTATGGGGAGGAGGCCTTCATCCAGCAGTGGTATGATTAATTTAACATCATTCCGAGTAGAGGGAAATTATTATTTAATGACTGCGGTTTGGGGAATGTTGGCACACGGCATGAGGGAAGTATGATCAGCAGTTTATGTTTTAGGACTTGGCATGAAGTTGCACAGGCACTGCAGCCCCATCCGCATTGAGTCGAACCAACAGTGCTGTCACGGTGAGAATGGTGGCAATTTAAAGGCTTACTCATAACCACTCTCTCTTGCCACCCACATTAAGGTTCTGGGCAAATCCTCAATTTCGTAAAGTCTCCAAAACCCCATCAATGTTTACTTCCTCCACAAAAATATCACCACACGACCACCATAGTTTATAGAACTTCAGTTTGTATGCGCTGAAAGTAATAGAGTTACGTGACACATCCAGCCACCATCACCAGTGTTAAAAATATTTATTTTCACGATTCTTAAATCGAAGTGACCCTAAATCGTCACGACGATTCATTGGATGGTACGGCGGGAGAGAGTGGTGGCGAGGGCGGGGGAAGGGAATCGTCACGCCCATATTATTTAAATTGTTTATAAAACGTTCAAAATACTCCCTCCAGAGGGCCTTGGGGGGGAAAAAAAGAAAGTTACAGACGAACTACCGTGGCGGACAGAGCCCGAGCAAAGACACGAGGAATCCTCCAACACGGCGCCGACTGAAGGTCACATCACTCATTTCCTTTTCAGAGATATCGGCGGGCGGGCGAGCAAGCGCCGGCGACTCCTGGACGTTCCAGGCCCCTTTCTTCCCAAAACCGTTTGGACAAAGTGCCCGCTTATATGAAGTTGGACAAGCCCCATGGACGGCGAGGCTTGTGTGAAAGCTAAGATTTCAGTTGTAAATGCTTTGTATATTCTTAAGTTTGGTGGAAAGTTACATTTAATGGGTCTCCTTTTTAAACGGGGGTTTTTTTCCTCCCCCTCCCAGCATACGACCGAACAGACAGACCTCTTGCCGCGACGCGCTCGGGGTAACACAGCGGGCGCACTGTTCCTCGCCGTCGCGAGGCTTTCAGCGGCGTGACTTTGTGCATGCGCCGAGGCCCCCATTCTTGCTTTCATTTTCAGAGGGCGGCCAACAAAACAGAGCGCCCCCCCACCCCCCCCTAAACTCCTAGGCCGCTCGGCCGTTCGCTCATTAGACCTTTGAGAGAGAATGTTTGGCATTCCTCCCAAGCGCAGGCGAAACCAAATTAACCCCAGATAAGCCCCAATTTGGGGGCGGGGGAAAAACTGCTGGAGAGCCGGGCCCCGGCTTAGCCTGCCGCGCTTCTCCATGCTTTTTTGGCTGCCTGCTCCGCGCTCGCGCTCACACGATGGCCGGGGTTGTAACCGCCGCCTGTTTACGGACCCAAAGCGTGTGCCGAAAACTTTGAACGTGAGATTAAACTTTAGCTGGGCAAGTCTTTTTTAAAAATGTAATTCGATTGGTAACCTTTTGCCTGCGATCAAATCACCCTGAGTAGGCCCGATCTTGTCAGATCTTGGAAGCGAAGGATTATTCGAGCCTGGTTAGTCTTCGGATTTACGACCGTAAGCGGCTTGCCAGGTGTTGTAGGTATTTGGCTGTGAGGTAGCCAGGAAGGAGAGTCTTGAGACTCGGTCAGGCTTTCCTGGGTCCATAATTGATACGATCATTATGTTGTTGCATATATCAGTGTTAAAATTGATGCTATGCTGTTGTACTGCATGTTTTGGTGCCACCACTCTCATAATACCGACTAAGGAACAAGAAACCAAATGGTGAATTTAAGAACTTGAAATGGAGCAATACCAGGAAGTGACATTGCCCCGAGAGAAGCAAACGATGGCATTTTGAGTGTGGTAACGATAGAAGGGACTTTCACTGCACCGAGAGACCCAATGTGTCATCAACAGTCCATTGTAAATGACTGTAAAATAAAGTCTCGACAAAAACAACCCACCCTTCCCAGTTAAACACGACTCTGTAAACGACGCTCCCGTAACCAACAAAGACATCATCAACGCACGTTCACGCCGGTTCCCCCGTTAATGTGAATGAATTCCCACGTTTTGCCGCATCGGCTTTGACGCACTTTTTTTTTATTTGATACCTTTGAGTCTGACCGACATCAACATGGCCAGGGTTACATTACAGGATTGGCTAAGAACACCCTTTTGGGGGAGTCGTCGCATGCCGCAGACAGATACAAAACCACTGGGACAGAGTTATTATATTCCCGACGTAACCTGCCTTAAAAGGACCCTGCAAGTTACGTGTCTGGAGCACCGGCTCGCCCCGTTCTCGCTTCGCGCCACTCGTTAACACAACACGTGTCGCCAAAAGCCCACTCATTAATAATATGACGATGATTTGCATTTGATAGAGCGCCCTAGTCCGTCAGCTAGGTAACGATGACCAGGAGTCTGTTGGAACGTACGCAACCCTGTACACGATAACCAGACACCGAGCACACGCACACGCCCACTGACGCACCTGTAGTAGCGCGACTGCAGGTAGGTGGAGCACACGGCCTTGGACACGTGGCTCGCCGACCCAAAGTCGATGACCTTCACGCGGAACGGCTGGCGCGTCGGGTCCACCAGCATGATGTTCTCGGGCTTCAGGTCGGCGTGGATGAGCCCCAGGCTCTTGAGCTTGGCGAGCGCCGTCGCCACCTGCTGCAGCACGGGCCGCACGTGGCCAAGCGCAAGCGGCCGGAATTTGTTCCGCTTGAGGAAGTCGTAGAGGTTCTGCTCCAGCATCTCAAAGACGAGGCAGGTGTGGCCGCGGTGCTGGAAGCACTCGTGCGCGCGCACAAAGTTGTGCTCGTCGGCGTTCTCCGAGCTGAGCCGCGCCAGGATGCCCACCTCCACCTGGCCCTGGCGCGCGTAAGACGGGTGGCTCTTAAGGATTTTGACGGCGACCACCTCGCTCGTGCCGCGCTTCCAGCACTTCACCACCTGCCCGAATGTGCCGCGCCCCAGGAACTCCAGCACCTCGTAGCTGTTGGTCATGGAGCGCAGCACCTCGTGCTGCACCAGCTGGTAGTCCCCGTCGCCGCCCGACGACGACCCGCCGTGGTTGTTGGCCTTGGCGTTGGTGGTGCCGCCGCCGGCGGCGACGGCCGCGGCGTTCGTGGTGGGCGCCATCGTCACGTTGCTCCCCACAAGCATGGGGGCGGCCGCCGCCACGGCGGCAGTGGGCGGCAGCTCCTCCACGATCTGCACGCTGCCCGCGTCGTTGCTCGCGTTGGCGGCGGTGGTCGTCGCGTTGCCGCCGGCTGTGTTGTTGCCGGCGCCGCCACCGGCGCCGCCGTTGCCGCCGCCGCCGCCGTCGTTGCCCGGCTCGCCGTCGACCCCCTCGCTACTCCTGCGCTTGAGGACGCATCGCTGGTACGTGTCGAGCAGGTTCAATGTTGTTCGCCGGGCGATGCCGCCGCCGCCGCTAGCGCCGCCGCTGGCGCCGCCCCCGGCGCCGGCCGCTGTCCCGGCTGCCCCGCCGCTAGCGCCGACAACGGCGGCGGTGGCCGCGGAAGTCGCGACGCAGCCCGGGAAGATCAGGCTCTGCTCGTAAGCGGCGTGGCTGCCAACAGCGGCGGTGGCGGCGACCGCGGCGGAAGAAGCGGCGGCAGGGGCGGCGTAGGCCTTCGCACTGTGCCGGCTGCTGCGGTGATGAGCGTTGCTGTGGCTCTGCTGGTGCAAGTGGTGGTGGTGGTGGTGGTGCTGTCGGCTGCGCTGGCTGTGCTGATGCGAGTAGGCAGAGGTCTTTCCGTCATGGTAGACGCAGCTGCTGGGTTCCAGTTTCAGCTTCTTCACACTGCAGAAGGCACTGGATTGAGGCTGAGGTGGAGAGAAGACTTGCATCTGAGAGGCCATACCTGCGGCGGAGTGGAGAGGGGACGGGCACGATGGAAACAAACGAAGAATATGTAAGTGGTACGTCTTCATCATCTGTGCAGCCCCAGCAAGCTTCTTGTGAAACACAATGCGGAAGCTCTAATGGGCTTATACTGTTCGAGCAAGTGCACACAGACACACACGTACGCGTGGAACACGCTGAAAGGAGCAAAGTGGTCGCTCCCTGTGGGAAGAAACTAAAAGCATGAAAGTGGCACGTCAGAGACGTAAGTTAAAATTACTGTGGCACCCTAAAGCAGGGAAAAATCGAAGCGGCGTTGTTGAGAGGAAATCACTGCAGGGCAGTGCTCCCAACCCCCCCACCGCCTTCACAGGTTCCGCTTAGCACGAGGTTTGTGGTTAGAGACAGCTGTCTGACCACCGAGCAAAGCTTGTCGACAAGAATAAGCGCGCACGCAATCGCGAGCACGGGCACGAACGCGGCCACGCGGCTGCAGCCAGAATAAAGGGGAGAGGGGAGGAGATACGGAGGATGAGGACGAGGAGGAGGGCAAGCAGCCGCAGGGAGCCCAGATTCCAATTCCAATTAGACGGAGATTAAACAGACTGATGGACAACGGCAAGCGAGCAATTGCTGTATCCGTCCTCTCCGCGGACGTTAATGCAATGCCTTGCTACGCTTTCAAATTGAAGGTCGTCGGCGTCAGGAATTGTACGGCAGAATTAGGCTTAGGAGTTCTTACGGCATCGCGTGTAACTCATTAGAATGCGCCCGGCACATTTGAGTTGGTTGGATGCTGAAAAAAAAGAAAGAAATAATTCACAATTGTTTCCAAATTTCGTTATACAGCGATTTTACCAGAGCAATAACAATGAATAATGCAGCACGAAAATAAATGGGCCAGCTGTGAACGGACGTGACAAACAATTCCAGGAATGCTTGCAACATTACCCCCGTGTAGGGGTGGGTGTTGGGGGGTGTACTGCTCGCTATCGTATAAAGAAAAACACACCAAGCCGATTTCTAATCGGCCGCGAATGAATTAACCAGGTGCAGCGTAAACTCGGAATGGGACCACGCCGCCACTGGGTCTCCGCGTCCGCCCGCTGTCCTCGGAGGACGCCGCTAATGGAGCCGAGCTGTGCGGAGACGTGAACCGCAGGGGATAGCAGCCTCGGCCTGGCGCAGGAAATTAAAAGACAAATTCATTTCTTCCTCTCCCTCTACTCCCACTACCCGCCCCCAACTTTGTTTTCGTAGTGGGAGGATCGCCGCTGCATCTCACGGGAGAGGGGGGGGGGCTCCCTGGGCTCCCAGCTATTGTCTCCCGGCTTTAAGGAACACGGACACTTCCTCGTAACCACGTAAGCAACAATGATCCAAATTATCACACGATCATTTCATTGAGGTATCAAGATACCGTGATGAGTGTTACTTTGTTGAGAAGACAATGGATTAAATTGCACCTGAAAGAGGAATGTGGAATTCCCATTACTGCCTTAGCCACGCAAGAGCATGGCGCTAATTTGGCCCGGCGCTTTGCAGGGAAGGGTTTTTTTAAATTCCGCATTAATTTTTTTTTTATCCAAAACCCGCTGGGCTGAGATTGGCAGGAGATGGCAAGACAGCACGTGGGGTGTTGGTGAACCCATCTGAGTGCCATTTCCTCATGCATTCGTTTTCTTAGTGTAATCCCACACACAATACACTTGCTCATTAATCCGACACGCAAAACCCTGAAAAGGGTCATGAGACTTAGTGAGCGAGGCTTCGTGGATTAAAATACAGCACTATTATTTTAATAACATTCCTTTAAGAAAAGAGACACCGGTTAATAACGTAAAAGATTCTGCTTCGAGCAGACAAATGGATTTACTGAGGGGGGCTGGGTGTTGGCACAGTGCTTGCTTGGTACATGACACTGCGAACCTGGGTTCGCTTCCTGGTCACAGATAACATCGGTGGGGACTGAAATCCGAACCAATCCTGGGTCTCCCGCCAGCTCCCGGTCCTTCACCAATGCACAATGCCCAACTTGGTGCAGTCTGGTCAAATACACCCCCCACTGCCAAAGTGGCACGAGGTCTCCATCCAGCAGCTGACTGACAAAAGGGCCACAAATGAGTGTTATGCTTAAGGATACGCTGACACCCTCACATACCAGATTGCTCACAATTTGCAAACAATGTTAACTGTACCCCATCAAGAAAATGCTCAACACTGACGGAGGCCTTCATCCAGGGCTGTAAAAAATGTTTAGCCCCCGTCAAAAACGAAATTAAGTCGCGAGGGAAACGCTCCACGCGCCCCTGCCTCTTGTGCCGCTCCGCTGGCTTCGGCGAGGAGGTTTTTGTTTGCTCATGGCGAGGGCCAACGGGACGGGTCCGGCTGTGGCCACCCACCCCCGCCTCCGCCCAGCGCACCTCGGCACCTGCTGGGCCCCCGTCACCGGTTCCCATGGCAACGGCGAAGCTAATCCCATTTCCGTACAACTCCCCACGCTTTCCACGGCCTGGTCTGCGGAGGCATGGGGGGGGGAGCTCACTCTCTGCAGGCGAGAGAACGGGCTGGGGGGCAGGGAGCGAGCGAGGCGGGCGGAAAAAGAGGACGCAGTGAAACACTTAATTAACCGATTGATTTACAATCCGCTGTTGGATGAAGGCCTCGCCGTGATGTGGGGGCCGTTTGAGAGTACTTCAGCGGGCTGGCCAGCTCAGGTTGGTGGAAGGTGACATCATGTGAAGTACCAGGGTCATTTTGGGATCTGCTTATATTCACACTTGTTTCGCAAACGGCACAAGAGAAACCGGTAAAATCCCCTAATTGGAGAAAGTTAGCAAACCCAACAGGAATCATCATCACCTCCCCAAAACCATTCCTGCACAACCAAAACTTTACGGACCATTGTCGTGAAACAACTGCTGGATAGACATCTCCACAACGTGATGGTCGTGGGAGTTTGACTGGCCATACTTTATTGCGCTTCGTCAGTGGAGGTTGGTGAAAGGACGGGGGAAGTGGAACCCAGGATTGGTTCAGATATCATTTACTGCTGCTGCTGCTAAACGAGGCCGAGAATCGAACTCGAGTCATTCCACTCTGGTGTGATCATACCGGAACGCTTTTGCTGCTGGGCCTTCGTAAAAACTACATTCCGGATAATCCATTTTTTTTCCATTTCTTAACTGGAGTCCAGTCATGTGGAGCTTGTGTTATGAAGAGTTTCGCCTTGTCCCTATTCTTCTTCTTCAACAGATGTGATGTTTGTTTTGCGAGCGTATGAGAGATTTTCTTTTTCATGAACATTAACTTGTCTAAACGCTCAATACGGAGCCATCTCCTCCCATGGCTTGAACTCGGGGCATGCGATACAAAACAAACTGGAAGGGGGCGGGGGGTGGTTAGAGGTTGGGGGGGGGGGGAGCTGAAGGGGTGCGGCAGGCAAAAAACGTTAACTATGGTTGATGTTTTAAGCCCTCATTTCTGGAATGCGAATCCCAGGCCCCCTCCGCACTTTGATCAGCTGCAGGCTGTCTTTACTGGAGCATGGCTAAGCCGTGCGCCTCTCCTCCCACTTACCAACCCTGCTTGAACTCAGCGGCAGACAAACTACGCGGCAGCGGCGGCGGTCTCTACGCGATTAAACGACAACGAGGAGGAGGAAGAGTTGCCCGTTCTGTTTGGCCGGCCTGCTAAATAATCCGGCACGCAAACAGCGGAGGGGTATTTTTTTCCACGGTTGTCATTTTACCCCAGAAGTTTAAATGGGTCGATTGTGGGGAGTCAAAATGTGGGTGCTGCCACCTCTTCCGAAGACATCTGGCCAGGGTCCACGACGAGTAGGCCAAATACCCTTCAGTGCAGGCCCGTCCATCGACAGAGGTGTTAACAGGCAATTGTCGGGATGCACCTTTAGTATACAGCACCAATTGTGCTGTCGACATCGCGTGAGAATTCGTTCTGAACTCAGAATAGCCCACGGAAGTAGATATCACAAAATACCTCTGAAATCCTTCCACGTGACACAGTACAGGGCAGCAATTTCCAACCCGCTCTGCCATTAGGGTAATGTTCAAACTGATATTTAATTCTGGGAGTTGGCATTCAGACAAATTAAGTGACAAACCAAATTAAGCATGATGGGTTTGTATGAGCAGTCTTTGGCGATCGGGCTGAGACTGTTAACCCACTGCACTTGTAACCCCACATTTAATTACAGGCTATTCTCGCCGGGATTCGAACTCGTGGCCTCAGCGGTGCCGGCTCAGCACCCTGACCTCTAAGCCACGAGGCCACCTCACACCAACATTGGTGGCGCTTGATATTGCCCAGTCTCCCGCAAATATATTAGCGTAATCTGGGTAGCTTTAACGAGCAGGTGTGATAAAATTAATCAAACCGCTGATACAAATAATTTTCTGCAAATTGCACTACAAACCGGCAGGGTTGATTATCATCAGTCAGTGCTGACACTTCCCTGTTGTCTTCCTCAACAAAGCATGAAGAACTGCCTTCCCTGCACAATAAAAAGAAAGAAATCAATTAATTCCATCAGCGCTTTTTTTTGTGCTCTGCCACGGGCGCTGCATAGCTAATTAGTAATTACCGGCCCGCACCCTAAGGGAAGGAAATAAAATTTGATTAAACGCGTCTCAGGCACAACAACACGATGGCGCCGTCCATCACTGCCACCGCTACCCGCCACCGCCACCACTGCCACGCACACAAAATGTTCATTTGTGCTCCAGTACTTAAGCTGCTCCTAAATCAAAACATAGAAAATTCGGAGCGCTTGACATGCCGTCTCTCTCTACACAACCTTCGATTCGTGCCAGTGGCAGCATCAGAAGCGACATCGCAGTTATGTCAAGTTCTTACTCACTGGCAACCACGTGAATAATCGGAATCCAATTTGAAAAGACTCCGAAGTTCCACGAAAAAAAACTCCTTCCTGGTGTAGTTAGCGGTAATATTATTTTTCACGCGCGTCTCTCTCTCCGCGCACGGTCAGAGTGGAAG